GCACTATAGACTGTCAAAGCTAAATCACAATTATCGTTTAATTTTCTTTTACACAGTTAACTAATTCAAGTCTTAATTAGGTATATAATCACTACAAGTACAACTTTAGAATATTGGTGAGTATTAGAGCGGTATTGCCAAATTGATAAAATCTCAAATTGTGTAATTTTATAAAATCACTATTTCTATTACTTTTTATGAAGTTTCGATGTAACAACATCCTTTCTCAATACGAATGGTCCTAGTATTGTACTGTTTATTGTACTTTACTAATCAAATGTTTAATTTTACTTTTTTTAAATAATCTATTTGAACTATCATTCTTTTAATATTAGTATCTGTAAACCATTTTCGTCACTTTTATTTATTCTTTTGTCAACTAACTATTAATTCTAATTTATAAATGCATACGATCTTATTTGTATGCATAGGATGAGCCTGCTGCACAAACGCCCATATTTATATTGTAGCAGGACATGATGTAAGATTAAACAAGGTCCGTGGGAGTAGCAATGTACACTATGAAAAATAACACATACAATTGTTTTTAGAATTTTTAGAGCTATACTCAGAAATGTTTACTTCAAATTCGTAAGTAGATAGATAATATAAAACCGAGATAGAAACAATGTTATTTCCTGATATAAATAATCTCCCTTTGGGCATTTATTACTGAGCTAAAGGTCTCTAATTTTTATGTACAGGGTGGCGACCAGGCATATCTCGAAACCGGTAGTTTCTTTCATGACAACGAAACTACACTCTCCCCCACCACTTAAGAATAGGTGTTTTTTTTTATTTAAAATTTATGGCCTTGGCATTGCCAATTGGCCAGACTAATTTACATTGTTTGGATACCAACTATTACAAATCCACAATCCACTGTTAGTATTTGTTAGTCGTTCGTTTCTGTTATTCTTTTTTTTGTGTTATATTTTCGTTTTTGTGTTATATATTTTTCCTTCTGTTTTTTTGTTGTTGTTTTTATTCGTTTTTTTGTTGTTGTTACTATTCTTTTTTTTTATATAAGAATAGGTGATACAGAAAAATTACTTGGACAAAAGTTGTACAATATGGACAGCTACTTACTATTTCTGTTGGGAAAGTAAACAAAGCAGACCTTCAACTGGAAGTGTGTGATTTAAAGTCAGATCCTTTTTACCATGATAGAACAGAAATGGTATTGAACTTTTTTAAATTACTCCTCAGGGGAACGTTACTCTAACTTGCGAAACAGGCTTTTTAATTTTTTATTTTTTTTTTCACTATCCAACATATTTGCATCCAATTACCGGATAGGAACCATAAATACATATATTAGCGGAGTAAAACTTGGAAGTAAAGACGCTTAGTTTTTGAGAAAAAAAAAACCCGGCGTAGAACCAAACCAGACTTAGTGCTATTCTTTAATAAGGTAATCGAGTACACGAAATCATTTTTGACGACATTTTTTGGTGGTCGAGAACTTTTTTATTTCGAGAAAACTTTAAAATAATCGATTTTTTTATAAAACATGTTTTTTAACGTCTCCGACGCTATATCTCGGAAAATAATCGTGATATCGAGATATTTTTTTTACATATTAAAGTAGACACAATAGCGCTTTGAACAATACCCCACTTAAATCCCAAAAAAAAATTGTTAATTTGTTAAAATAACAGCTAACTCAAACTTGTTATTTTCAGTAACGTAATTTTAAGCAATCGAGAAAAAACTTTATTTCTAAAAATTTGTACATATATGCTGCGAACAAATTGAAGCCAATAGTCGAAAAAAGTTTAGAATAAAAACTTTTTATGTGTCGCTTATAGTATCGAGTCAGCGATTTTTCTTAAACGGACCAAAATCATATTCTTGCGTGCTCGGCTCTGGCCTGCGAGCGCGACCGTCGGACCTAATTAGTAGTATATTAAACATTTTTAATCGAATTAAACTAACAATGTAAGAATAAAGTAAGGTTTATCGTTGATATATTTATTATTTAGATGCTACATTAATAGCACTCTAATTCGTCATCTTCTGGCTCTACGTCGAAATCTTTAATACTGTTGTTGCAGGAACGACATTTACACTCGTTACAACATTTTAGGCCTTTTTTAACACAAGTTCATTTTCGATTGTCACAGATGACTTTCAAAATCTCCATTTCTTTTAGCACTTAGCATTCTCCAAAGTAAATCGATTGTCTCCAAAAAAAAGAGTACCAATATTTAAATGTTTTTGATGGACCGCAACCCAAGTTTACAAATTCTGCTTCAACTTTGTTGTGATCTTCATAGCAGGATATGTTCCGTCTTGTTTGAAGGAAGCATATTTAAGGAAGCGACACTGAACTGATTCTAACTCAGAGATATAAATACTATAGAATGGAGCCCAAATGACAGAAGCATATTCAAGTTTGGATCTGAAATATGAGTTGTAAAGTACCGAAAAAGATATTTTTGAGTCAAACCATACCCCAAGATCTTTGATTAAGTCTACTCTAGGTATCGATGTAACATCAAGCAAATAATTAGCAATTAGATGGGTTTAATAATAGCTGATTTTTTACACACCATTCGTTAACCTTGTTTCAGTTTGTATTTTCTCAGTGTCGGATACATTATTAATTTTGTAGTAAAGTTTAAGATCGTCTGCATAGAGTAAACTATTTACTTTTAGGTCCGCAATAATGTCGTTGATAAAAATAATAAAAAATAATGGCCCCAACACTGAACCCTGCGGTACTCCAGAAGTGGCCGTGAACTTCACGGACTTTTCACCACAATACTCAACTTGTGAGTGACGATTTGAAAGATAGGATTTACAAAATGCTATCAGTCTTTCAGAAAAATTTAAACTTTCTAACTTGCTTACAAGAATGTTATGATCAAGTTTATCAAACGCTTTAAAAAAATCAGTGTAGACACGTCCATCTGCGAGCGAGAATTAATAATGTCTGATATAAACTGTGTTATGCAAAATAGGTTGGTGGTTGTGGATCTATTTTGTATAAAACCATGTTGATAAGGTGTTAATTGCCCACTAAAATGAGAATATATTGGTTTGTATAGACAAAAATCCAAAACTTTAGAAAAATTGTTTATTATTGTTAAAGGCCTATAATTTTCTATTTCATTTTTGTTTTCTTTTTTGAAGATAGGAATGACTTTTGATTCTTTCAATATCTACATCAGGAAATTTATTGGTTTGTAATGATAAGTTGAATAAAGTTTTAAGAGGTTTAGAGAGTATGCACAGTCATTTAGAATGAAAGCAGAAATTTTATCAGGCCCCTTGGTATTTTTTGTTTTAATTTTTTTCAGTGGTTCATAAATGTTTTTTTTTCAGAGAAGTATTCTAGATTTAACATGGAGAAAATGAATTTTGAAAGAATTTTGCAAATGCATTAGCTATTTCCTGTGGATTATTATAATTTTCGTTATTATAATGCATTGTTCTCGAAAGCTCATTACAGTTTTGTTTATTTTTAATATACCTCCAGAATTCTTTAGAGTTTTGTTGGATTTCGCGTTCAGCTTTTTTATAGTAATTTTTGTAAGCGATTGTTGTCTTATTCTTTATCTCTTTTCGATGACATTTCAAATTATGTTTAATTTTAAGTTTTGTGATAATGCTGCCCTTGAACCATGGCGGATAACACCGATTTGAGATTTTACATTTCGGCACGTATCTATCAATTAAATCATATATTTTACTGTAAAAGTAATTAAATACTAAATCCACATTAATAAAGTCATCTAACAGATCCTAATTAGTATTAGCCAACGTCTGGTATAAATTGCCAATGTCATTTCTTATAATTGTAAAAAAAAAGAGTTAGAATTAGGTTTAGTTGTTTTTTGGCGAATACCATTTATTAAAGCTATTAGTGCTAGGTGATGCTGTTTGTCTTCATCTAACAATATATCTGGTGCTAAAACAACCTCACAGTCCAGATTTGAAAATACTAAATCCAAAAGTCTATTAGTTTTAAATCGAAAAAAGTTTAAAAATTATTCAGGGAACGTACTTTTGAACTATGAGAAAGAGAGAGAGAGAGAGACAATGATTATTCAATCATTGAAATCACCTAAACTTAATGTTTGGTCATGACAGTATGTTAGAGATTCAAGGATTTCAAGAAATGACTTAAATAAGTTTATACTAACATCGGGCGGAATATATCAAAATTATATAGACACAAATATATCCTAGCTTTATTTTTACTCCTATTATGTCTATTAAATAATAATCTTTCAACATAGGATGGCTTTTTAGATTTAAATTTACCGGAGACAAGACAGATTCGATCGCTAGCGTAACACCTTGGAGCGACCGGTGTTTTGAAAATCTCTATAACAGTGAAATATTGAGTATAGGTCCCGTCCAGCCAAGTTTCGGTAAAAGCAATGCACGAATAATCACTAATAGTACTACAATTAAATAATTCATGAGCCCAATGCTGATAAAGAAGCACGAATCTTCGCGAAAACAGCTTTTCCTACATGAAATGTATAAGGTCTAAATATAAGTGTTCCCTGTCTGATAAGTAATTTACAACAAAATATTAATGTTAATACGAGTGAAAACCAACATCCCCAAACTTCCCACTATTTTTTTGTACATTTGTTATTCTTTTGAATAATAAATTATGATAATTTAAAAGAATAATCAACTAAATTGTTTACATAAATTGTAAACATATGTTATTATAATAAATAGGTATGTATCTAATACCTACATATATTATCATAAATAAATTCATTATATATGGGTGTATATTTTACTTTTTGATGTAAAATATACTACTAATTACTTGTAAATATTTAATGGCTGAAGGTTGTTTAGAAACAAACTTAATTTCCAAAAAAGCGACATACAAAGACGAAAAAGTAAATATTTAACTATTATGAATACATTTTTGTGATCATTTTGTAGTATAACTGAAATACATTTAATAACGTTTTAACCTTTTAAATGGGATTTAAATACTATACATTATAGAATAAAATAAATACCTTCACCCTGTACAACAGCACACACGTAGCAAATTGCTACAGCAACGACAACCAAAATTCGTTGCATTTTAACAAAATAAGAGATTACACTGAACTGCTTAAAATCACACAAACCATTAATTTATAGTATCATTTTTGGCCATTAACTCTGCCTAATGATTGAACATTAATAGTGTTAGTAAGCTGAGACTGATAAGCTAATTGTTATTGTTAAAGTAACTTAATTTGTTTAAATACTGGATGAGAAATATCGGGGAATTTTAATAAAGTAGCAAGGCGTGTAAAATACTTGATCCAAGGACATTGTTTATTAATTTTAGTTGATGATGATGATGATGATGATGATGTAAAGTTTGGATTTCAACTGAGTTTGACTAACAAATACAACAGTACGATCTGGGATAAAGTGAAAAATAAAAACAATACTAATAATAGTAATTATAATAAGTAGTTAGTAGGATCGGGAATGCCGAAGATGCACTTTCTGCTACCTGGTATCTTCTTTTGCGTCAAATTCCAATCGCTATTTATGTAATATTAGCATTGTATCTACTACTGTTGACACTATTTGTCAATAGTTAAACCGTAAATTACCAGCTAATATTACATTTATACAGGGTGATTAATAATGAAATGTAGGTACACAGAGTAATGGTAGAATCCTGATGACATCAAAATATGGCGATAGGCCAAATATGACTTAGTAAAATGTTGATAGTTGATAATTTACAATGAAGTTAAAACCACAGCTTATACAATACAGCTAAAACACTCTCTTGGCGGCAACGGTTTGCGTCGATTTCGTCGCGCATCGCTTAAGCTCCGCCTTCGAAGGGAAAAGACGGTTTTGGCGTTCAGAAGTGTACTTAGGTAAGGTGTTGAGTCGTGCGTATAATTTCGTTGATTGTATAATTTCGTGGAGCCTATAATTTCGTAGATTTTGTTTGAGTTAAAGGTACTGTTATTATTTTGGTGACTCTTTAGCTGTGAGTAGAATGAATGAAAAAAAAGACATCATTCTGTTTGTGCAGTCAAAAGCTGTTTTAATAAGGGTTATACCTGCAAGAAAATATTCTTTAGTTTTCCCAAGGACCCAAACCGATAAGTACCACATTATAAGAAATTTTCATTGTTAAAAATATAATTTATACAGGGTGTCCCATTAGTGCGTTATTGTTCATTATTTTGTTGTAGACACGCAAGAAAGTTTTAAATAAATATGGATTTTAAAAATACCTACATATTTTAAAAATATCTTTGGATATACAGGGTGTCACGTTTTTGCCTGGCAAATTAAAATGTATGTTTTTTAAATGGAACACCTTGTATTTTATTTTATGATGAAATTATTAACACCCTAAATTATTGTAAAGACGAATTGCTACAGAAAATTTTTATCAGGTATGTGTGGTTACCTTTTAATAAAAGCCTTGCGGATCCACTCCTGCGATACCTGTCTTAAATATAACAAAGATCACGTTGAAATAGATGATTTTTCTTTTAATTGCTTTTTAAAGGCATATGATAACGCCAATTCAGATACATTTGGAAATCTGCAACTGTCAAATGATGAATTTGTAGAACTAATATTCAATATTGAAAAGATATTTCAAAATAATTTTGAAGAATTGGCTACAAAAAATAACATTTGTACCACACTTTTAGAATTAATTAACCCAATACCCTTTAGTCATCCATGCTAACGTTTTCCAAAAGAATAACTTATTTTATTGTATGTTTAATCTCAATAACTAAAAAATATACTGACAATTAGTTTGACAGAATTGTCATTTATTTAAAATTTTAAAAATAATAGCAGTCGGTTGATCAAAATATGAACGGTGATTGGCGAATTTATTTTTTTTTTGCAGTGTTCTCACTACCTAGAATGGATATGAAATATATTCGTTCAATTGAAGGCAATAGCATACTTTTTCGTTTTGTAATCTGTGCATGGATATTAGCCAATCTACGCACATACTACAAAACGAAAAAGTATGTTATTGTGTTCAACTACGAATATATTTCATATCCATTTTAGGTAGTAAGAACACTTTAACAAAATTAAATCTACAAATCACAGTTCATATTTTGGTCACCCAACTCCTATTATTTAAATTTTTTTAAATAAGTGACAATTCTGTTAAACTAATTGTCAATATATATTTTAGTTATTGATATTAAATATACATTAAAATTTTTGTGCAGACTCGATAAATAATAGCATTTTTGTTTCTATTGTGTCCACATTTAAAAAAAAATAAATTTTAATTAAACTACATGATACTAATTTAATTACGAGTATTAAAACTAAAGTCCTGAAAGTTTCGGTGAAGATGAAGACAGAGCATCTGCCTTCCACGCGAAAAGTCCGGGATCGAATCTAGGCCGAGGACTAATTAATTTTTCATGTTTATTTTATTTTATAAATTAGTCAACTTCGTAAATTATTTTAAAATTAGTTATTTTGTCTAAATAACCTAAAATAATTTTTTAAATTTGTAGATTTTCGTTAGTGGGTCGTAGAAAAAATATACTGACCATATCGAGTAGATTGTTCATATCACAAGTTCTCCGCCTACGACGTCGTGCTCAAACTTCGTCTTTGTGTGATATGGCTATCATATCCACCCTTGTTGAACAAACTACAATTTATTTGTTTTCTTGGTTTAAGTTTTACATCAGAAATAGGAATTAAATTAATTTACTTTTCAAGTTTTCTTGTAAAAATCGATATTACTTTCTCCAAGTACAAATTTAGTACCTACCTAAAATAAGTACTAATTATGTTATATCTTGTAATATTGTAATTCAAATTTCACATTACTAAAAAGTTTTAAAATTTCCTACTTCGGTATGGTCAGATAAAAATTGAATATATTATATTAATAAAAACTGTCAAAGTATAACTTCTACAAATCTGTATTTCAAATAATAGGAATACATCTAAATATAACCAATATTGTTAAAACAAAAGCACACATTCTTTATAATTCCAAAATACCATAGAGTTCCCAGACCTCAGTCGAAGCATTCATTTATCTAGGTATAAACCCTTTGCGCGAAGAGTAACACTTGCCAGAGACACGGGGGTACCACTTGATTTGCATCCACGAGCGTGACACAATTCTTTAACAATTGAAGCCCTTGGTGTAAAATGGATCCAAGCCACAATTTGTCGTGAAGTGACTGTTTTAGCTCAAAACATTTGTTAACGAGGATTTTACTAGCCATATATAAATTATTTTACCTCTAATCCGAAAGATGTGCTATTTTTCGTAATATTTATATTTAAATAATTTTTTTAATTATATTTGAAAGATTTAAAACAAATTAAAAATGTAATTTCCCAAAACTTACTTAATATGGCATGTGACCAACCTTATTACGCCAAGGTTTTCAATTTTTTCAATAATAAAAAAATTGTTTAATCCGGGCCCGACTTTTCCCTTGAATCTAACAGAGATAGCACCATTCCGTCTTGCTTGGTTCTCGACCGCCAGATCAAAGACGCCGACACGGAGTTGTGAAGCTGTATTGTATAAGCTGTGTTAAAACTAACGAACTAAATTTTATAATATTAAGATGACTATACACATATTACTTTAATACATGTTCTGCAGCCATATAGAGACGAAAGTAGAAAAGTCAGCAAAGAAATTTACCAGGCATTTTCACGTAGGGTTCTATGAAAAGTATGAGTGGTTAACCAACTGCAAAACTTTGAAAAAACTGTTTTGCTGGCCTTGCCTACTTTTTAATATAGCCGAAAAAACACATTGGAACTCAGTCGGTATTACAGACTTGAATAATTTTCACAAAAGTGTAAAACGACATGTAAATAGCAAATCTCATATAAGTGCTACAATTAAAGAAAAAACATTCGGGACCTATCGCATTGAACATAGTTTGGACAATCATTTAAAAATAAGCAACAAAATTCACAATGAAAGGGTAAAAAAAATAGGGACGTCTTACAACGATTAATAGATGTAACTTGTTTCCTGGGAGAACATGAACTAAGTTTTAGGGGTCACAATGAAACAAGTGGAAATTACATGGACCTTCTAAGTTTTTTAGCAAAGTACGATGATACCCTAAAAAATCATTTTATTGATTCGACAACTTTCCGAGGTACCTCAAACAGAATCCAAAATGATTTAATTAAATGCACTGCCGACGTTGTGATGGATCACATTAAAAGTGAAATTAAAAAAGCACCTTTCGTATCAATTGCGCTTGATGAAACCACAGATGTAGCAAACTTAAATCAATTATCCATTGTTGTGCGATATGTATTGGATGGCATTCCTCAAGAGCGATTCTTAGGATTTTTGGACGTCACTAGCGAACAAACTACAGATGCATTGTTTAAAATTGTTTGTGACATTATTTCAAGTTTAAAATGTGGTACTAAGCTTGTTTTTAATTGTGTTGAAATCTAGCCATAGAATAGAATTGAGCCCAATAAGACTGTAATCAGTGTATCAAGTACTGTATAACATATAAAATTTAGACAATTTGACGGTACTTTAGTTTAAGCATTTTAACCTAAGTATAGTCACCATATTGTAAAAACTAATGATCAAACTTTTACAGAACTTAGGGCATTTTATGAGGTCAAATGTAAAACCGTAACAAACCCATTTTCAGTATGAATCACATCAATAATTTTCATAATGAGGTACATATATTCCAACGCCAACATTTATCCTTGTTCCATGACGCTAAACATTCCAAAACTGACCCTGATACCACCCGTTCTTAACAAATTGGAAATTTGAGCTCATTAGACACCGACCGAACCATATTTCACAAGTAGGTAAATCGAAAACCAAAAAACCCCATTGCATAACTCGTCTCTCCACATCGATTACGATTCCACGAAAGTCCTTGTCGCTTCTCGGAGTTATTTTACCACCACCCAACCCCCACGACAAAAAAGAAGACTCCCGGATGCTACGCCGGAGTCACCTGGTTCTAAGTGTGGTGCGAGTGACGTCACCGCTACTCTCACCAGCCCAGCCGCACACTTCTTGGGATTACCTCTTTTTGAAAGTCGGTCATCGTAATGTCCAACAACGACAACGCGCTCGCTGCCGATGCACCTCAGTTGACTTTTGCCCGCCAACTTTGATTCAAGTCGAGCGAAAGACGCGCGCGCATTTCGAAACACGAACGGCGTTGACAGCCGGTTTCTTTAAGTGTTGAATTTTGGATTTTTTTTATTGTTTTTGTGTTGGAAAGCGTTTGTAAGTTTTTTTTTATTTGTTTATAATGCATACCTAGATATTTATTTATTTTGAAAATCCACTGTCCCATCTCTTTTTTAAACATTTTTTTACTAATTTTTACATTTCCTTATTAATTATTTGGAATATAGTAATAATAAGCAAGAAAAATAGTATATTGTTTAACGAGTGACGAAAGTAGCATTTTGCTGCAAATGAGAGAATAGTTTATCAAACGAGGCGCAGCCGAGTCTGATAATGTTCTCATGTTGCAGAAAATGCTTTTCGACGAGTAAAACACTATAATTTTTTTATAACCACGGCTTACTATGTAGGATGTATAAGAAGTTTGAATGAGTTGAATTATCTTTAAAGTGATCTCGGCGAAATCTGCGATTTAGGGTTAAACCCCGTTTTACCAGTTTGTTTTGGCATCTACCTTTATATTATAATTACTTAAACTTTTCGTTTATAAAATCCTAAAAATGAATTCTAAGACTGCAATAATAATTTTATTTTAATATTAATTTACAAACTTTGAATAATTCAATACTAAAAAAAATGTATTGTGTATTTTAAAATTTATTTTTGTTTCACATATTGATTGATAGTTATATTAGAACAGTTATTTAAAACGATTGGGTTGTCAGAAATAAAGTTAATATCTGAAATTTCAACCACTTACTTTCGTCACTAGAGACGAAAGTTAACGTTATCGGATATTCTATCACTGGCGATTTCGGTTGGAGTAAAACGTGTTGAAAGTTGTTGATTTTTAAACGGTTATAGAAAAAACAATACGTATATACTATCTACAGCTGAATCATGTATTATGAAAAAAATTCATGGAGTGTTAAAAAAGCATTTCTGACTATATGAATTCTTTAAGATGAATTTTAAATTATTTAATATTACTACCATTGTATAAATATTTATACAATTTTACTACATTCCTTTATAACTTGAAGTAATTTGTTATATGCCTTTTGGACCAATATAATTTGGCGAACAAGAGGTCACTCCCCCTGGCCAGGCGCAAATGAAGAAGGCGGTTTTGTCTCGTTGGATAACTGTGACATTCATTATTGTAGACAAATTATACGAACAATTCAAAAATATAAATAGAAGTTAGAGTTAAAAAGTTCAATTTTTAAAAATATTCTTTGCATGATGTTCGTCTACGACTATTCTAAATGTTTTTTTGTTGAACTAAGACTAGGACAGAGGCAGTTGTGGCGTTATCCTAGAGATTCCAATCAGATTCTTAGATAGGACCACACATTTTTCTTATGCAAACGGGAGTATCGTCGAAATTTCTGTATTTTTGTGTTAAATTTCTTTATGACCCCGTCAAAAGTGTCCATGGGTCCAATCCTGTCCTATGATTAGATTTTGAGATACAGGGTATTGAAGTTAGAAATCCCTAATTCTTTAAAACGGGCACCAAAAATCACCCTTAAATATTTTTATGAGTTATTCACTCATATTGTGTAGTCAATATACATACCTAACTACTATTATCTAAATATTGTCGCTTACAGGGCGATTCATGATTCCGCAGATCTTTTTCGATCAAAGTAGGTATTTCTACAAAAAAAAAAATTGCTGATAAACCGAAAAAAAAACCGCCGTCAAAGCTTCTTAATATTTGATATGATATAAGTTTTCGTTTAGATTTATTAATATTTTTATAGTGTTGACTGTAATAAACCTTTTCTTTTGACAGATAAATGATACTTTCTTTATTCATAGCCGTAGTATATATATTTTTTTATTGGTACCCTATTTTACTTATTTAAAGTACGCCTCATCGTGTTTAAAACGAACTTTAGAAAACGCGCGTGTTTTAAAGTTACCATGGCAACATCAACAATCCGAGAAACGTGATGTCTAAATGGCAACTTTTTAAATATTGATCTGACAGGAGTGCCTTGTAATGTCAAATAAAATATTTCTGAGAAATTTTTCAAAAAAATTATTCAAATATTTTTTTACATTTTTAATTGTTTAAATAAATGTGGAAAGTACAGTTTGTATTGTTTGAAATATTAAAACTTTTTTAAATCAGAGGAAATACTGTTCAAATTAAGATTGCTAACATTCTTGGAAGTCAATGAAGTTGTACTTCCATTAATAGCACTTCCAATATTTGAAACATTCTTCCTATTGCTAATGCTCTCTTCTACGTAACCAGTCGCCACAGCTGCCGATTTCCATCCTACTTGTTGTTGGATTTGATCTATTCTCATGCCATTATTCGCCATAATGGTAGCAGCTAAGCGTAAATCGCACAATTCACATCTTCTACAAGAGCCAAAGATGCCACAAATAGCAACCACCTTCAAAAATAAATACGTAATGTCCGGTGCATATGTAAAAAACTTCCGCAAATCGTCTTCCTCGAATATATATGCCTTCTTGACTACCTCATTTTTGCTAATTGTAATTTTGAATGGATAGTCCACATACTCAATACTTTATACTGTTCCGACATTTTCTGGAGATAAGCGAGAACAACTCGTTCATCTATATGTGTAACCATTTGCTCTTCCATCCACGTGTTGAATTTATCGTATTCTTTTTTATAAACCGCTTCGGATTTTTGTGGTATTAAGCGCAATTCTGCTTTATTATTTAAATTCTCAATATTTGAACTCATTTTAAACAATAACAACTGTTGCGACAATTCATCTTACGTGACAGAATTTTTGTTTGTCTCATTTTCATGACAACGAGGTATACTGGTTTTACATCACAAATTCAACCATTTTCAGTTATTAGTTCTTATTTCCATGTTTTTGTAGAAATAATACCAATATTTAGGATTTCAAAGTATGCCAATAAAAAAAAAATAGCGTAAAGTATTCGTGGATAACTGGTCTTTAAAACACTCGCGCGCGTGTTTTAAAGACCGTTATATCCACTTATACTTTAATATACTATTAATTGATTTGGAATTTTGTATTAGTATATATTCTATTTTTATAGTTATATAGGAATGGCGATTGCATTAGAAAATATTGCAAGCACAAATACTCGTAAACCACCTAGTGCGCATAAAGCATTATCTTTAGAAGAAAAAATATCGTACTTAATGTATTTAATAATCTTCAAAAAGACTTTGGTTTCTATGGATGAAATATGAAACTTATACGGACAGTGTATAATAACATTATTAAAGAAGATACATTTATTGGAGAATTATCACATCCGAAAAAAACTTTCATGAAGAAACAAGACCTTTATTGAAACTTTGGTGAAAAATGTAATAAGGCAACTGACTAGTTGCCAAATGTGTAACACATGCCAACATGGACTGTATTTAAATGGTATTTAAAAAAAAACTCCAGGTGATGTTATCAACGATATTTTTAGAAGTACCATAAATGAAAACTGCTTATAACGATTATGTAATGAATGCAAAAATTCTGAACCCCATTTAAAAATGTTTTACCAGAATGAAAACGTGACTTATTTTGAATGGGTTAACTTAAAGCTAAATCAAACAAATAAAAATTGCAAAACAGTCTTAAGAAGTAAAAGCTAGAGATTTGTTGACTTTATTTTTGAAAAACCTACCTTTGTTTATATCTCATGAAGCCAGAATTCTTCATCAATATAAAGTTATCACGGAACTAAAAGAAATTCTAAAATCAAAAGATATTTTAGTACACTGACTATTAGTTATTTTGTTTAAAATGTAATATGCTGACATATAAATATGAAGTTTCTGGCATTTGGTTTATTTGGGAATATAATGATGTTGCAATTATATTAAATGCGTGGGGTACCGCCAGTACCGCCCAATTTTACTGCCTGTCGAAGTAAAACAAACTTGGAACTTTTATTACAGGTATTATTTATTTAAAATACACATCGACAACTACAAAAATTTTCAAATATACTATCAGTAAATTTTTTCTTCTGCCTCCAGTGATATCTGAATGCCAAAATTTTGCTTATAAGTGCCAAAGTTTAAAATGGAGTAATAAAAATTTGACTGTAGTGGCCATTTGTTTTTGAAAGTAAAACAGAAATGGGACGAATATAATTTGATTCACTATAATTAGATTTACTATAATTACATTCTTTAACTAAAGGAACCATTTTTCCATTTTTTTAATCTTCCACTAATTTAACCATGGATCAAGACCATTGAGGATGGATATCAATTATATGCTATGTAGATACACTGACATGTCAAAAGCTTTTAATGGCATATGCCGTCAAGATTTATCAACAATTAAATTCAAATCAGTTGCCTGGATTAATTCAACAGCAACTTGCATCGACTGGGTTATCTCCTTTGTTCCTCAAGGCTCACATTTTACGTAAACAATGGCGGTGAATTACTTTAAGAATTGTAATGTTGATGACTTGAAATATTACAGCAGAATTAAAACTCTTCTCAGTAGATACGTAGTATTAGTTTTAATTTTTATTGATTGGTGTGAAATTGAACAACAGTCAGAAATGTAAAATTCTCAGGTTCCAAGGAACTACCATGTTGGATCTGCAATTAACGATCTTGTGGTACTTCTAATTCTAATTAAATTCGTTCAGTATAATGGTAATAACAGTACAACTATCTACCATTGCATTTTAAGATGCTTAAACATATTATTTTATATTTGTAATATTAATAGACTTGAGCAAATTTTTATACAGGATATAGATGATTTAAATTCATAAAATATATTTTTTCTAATTTTTACTAGTTGATATATAGATTAAGGTCATATTGACATTACCACTGCACATGATTTTTCTCTTCAACGTTAATATATGCCACGGCTCCTTCACAACGATGTTTTTCCTGTTTGAATTAAACCAATAATAGCTGAGATATAGACTAAGGTCCTTTTGACATCGTCACTGCGCATGATTTTTCAACGTAAACGATAGTCGCCATTTTCATCGTCTCCAATGGCTTCACTACCGCTACTAAGGCCTCCTCCAGTTTTTTGGAGTCTCCAGAGGCTTCTACAGCGTTAGGTTAGATGACTTTTCACAAAATGATG